AGTGGTGGCGTTGTGGTTAGGGGAGCGGTGGCGTTGTGGTTAGAGGAGTGGTGGCGTTGTGGTTAGGGGAGCGGTGGCGTTGTGGTTAGAGGAGCGGTGGCGTTGTGGTTAGGCGAGCGGTGGCGTTGTGGTTAGAGGAGCGGTGGCGTTGTGGTTAGGCGAGCGGTGGCGTGGTTAGGGGAGCGGTAGCGTTGTGGTTAGAGGAGCGGTGGCGTTGTGGTTAGGGGAGCGGTGGCGTTGTGGTTGACATCTGAGAAGGTTCTGGAGCGATAAGATCGACTCGTGTGCAGCTGCGTGTTGGAGCGTTGCATCGCCGGGCCGTGAGAGATGGCGAATGTTTTTGGGTGGACTACATCGAGCAGTGGATATATCACGGTTAATGATGACGATGGTCCAACCTGCGACTGGCACTGTTGTTATTTGCGCCCGACTCGCGCAGTTGGAAGGGCGCGAGCTCAAACCTGGAGCCGGGTGTGGACTCAGCCAATCATCCACGCACGGGTCAATAAAATCAGTACCCACTTTGTGTGAAGTCAGCATGCTCTGGTCCTGTTTATGGAATTGTCCCTTATCGTAGGAATGTGGAGTTTAACACGTAGGCTTTCGCGACCAATATTATTAACAATAAAGTTTTTTTTTCCCTATTAAATCGCGGGCTTAGGGCAAGCCAATGAAGATGATCGCCGCTCTGTTGCCCGTTTGAACCGAGAGACACAAAGACTGCCATCACTGTGTTGGCTCTGAAGACTCAAAGGCTCCTTTATAACCGGTGAGGCCGCGTGGCCTAATGGATAAGGCGTCTGACTTCGGATCAGAAGATTGCAGGTTCGAATCCTGCCGTGGTCGTAATTTTATTTTATTTGTTATTTTATTTTACACAAGATGTCAATCGGCGAGAAGAGGGGTCGGCAAACAACATAACAATTCGAGCGATCATTTTTTCCAATTCGTAAAAGTAATAACATGCTATATTTCTAGAGCCGCAATTGCACGTGGCGAACACGAAACGGTGGTCCTTCATACATGACATCACGAAGCAGTCTTTTAAAGAGCCGCATGCGGCTCAAGAGCTGCAGATTTACGACCCCTGGGCTCGATGATGTTTTTAAAACTCCATATGGTTGGTTTCCTTTAAATGCATACGAATGCACGGTTCGTCTAAAATCGCGCCGGCTATTTTTTTTATTGCAGGCTGTGAATATTCGCACAAAGGGGCCACTTTCCACGCCGTGTCGGTGGTGCGAGCGAGACTGAGCGCGCTTTATACCACGCTGGTCAGTGCGCGTTAAAGATGAGGAGCGTAGGCGGTACAGTCCAATAAAATTAGCTTGACGGCACTCTGCTGCCAACAGCGTAGTACTGCATTTCACACCGCCTATATATGTAGAGTGCTCACCCTATCCAATGCCATTATCCAGGCTCAATCCTGAGCTCTGTGTGTGGTGCATTGGAATAGCGAAACGATTAGCCATATTAAACAAGCTAAGTCTCAAGCGAGTCTCAAGACTCCTTCGTAGGCGAATGCAATTCGAGTCAGAGGTTGACTTTGCCCATCATCCCGCAATGGTGAATAAATTCACTACCACTTTTTTTGAAGTCAACAGTGGTCGTCCTTCAGCTTTAATGGCCCCCGGCATGGGGATGAGGAATTTCCACCTCTGGTTGAGGGCAGCCAATGAAGACGATCGCAGCCTATATTTCATATTCTTGGGTTTTTTCGGTAAAGTCACGTAGGTAAAAATGTTAAATTAATAAAAGTAAAATATATTTCCTGACACAGAAGTAGATCTCGACTCCCAACACTATGTGTTAGAAGTTAAGCCCAATAACCCGTGGGGGCCGCGTGGCCTAATGGATAAGGCGTCTGACTTCGAATCAGAAGATTGCAGGTTCGAGTCCTGCCGTGGTCGAGTAGTATTTTTTTTTTAACAAATGTATCCAAAAAAATATATAAACATCGGGAAAATCTTGAACAACAGCGTGGTGAAGTTAGGGTCAAATAACTCCCAAGACACGCACGGTGTGGTGAAGCCCACCTTAAACAGCAAGTGGATTGACACAAGAGCTTATCACGCACACAGCGCATTTGCAAGTCCGCGTGGCAATGTTTTAAACTCTTAGGTTTTTTCGGTAAAGTCACGTAGGTAAAAAATAAAATTAAAAGTTAATAATGGAAATAAAATAAAATAATAAATCACGACGTTTCGGAGGCAACACAAGTCTCCGTCATCAGGTGGGACCGTCACAGCTAAAATTACTGCATCAAGTGAGGAAAATTAGAAAAAACCAGCCCTTAAATACAAGTTTACCTACGTGACTTTACCGAAAAAACCTAAGAGTATGAATCCTTGCAGTCACGAAAGCTTCAAATCTAGAATTAATGTTTTAAACTACAGTAAAATCACTCATGGAGTGGGACTTCAGCACGGTGCCGCTGATGATAGCCAGTACGGTGTTGATGTCCGTATCGACGAGGTTTGCGTGACAGCTGTCACTCAGCGCTGGACCAGAATTGTCACCAAATCACCAGCCGAATGCCCGGCAAAGGTATCCCGGCCCTGACAGGCAACCGGTTCCGTACGGTGACCGCAGCAAGTTGCAATGCGGACTGCTAATCGACGAAGGAGCCGACCGCATTCGTGCCGTGCAGACCTCGCTCTGCGGTGAGTTAGAGGCTGACTACTTGCTGCTCACTGGGCAGTGCAGCTCGAAGCCTGACGAAGCTCCTCGTTCGCGACCGCGAGACGGCTTTGGCGAGACCATTATCCAGCAGTGGATAGAGCACGCGGCTGATTATGGTGAAATATAAATGCCCTGTGAGCAGCAGCAGCAGCAGCGGTGTGTCGGGAAGCTGAAGCAGCGCGTGCCATGCCCCCCCCCCCACCCCACCAACACCCCCCCACCACCCCCCCACCACCCCACCACCACCCCTCCACCACCACCCCCCCAACACCACCCCCCCACCACCACCCCACCACCACCACCACCCCCCACCACCACCACCCCACCACCACCACTCCACCACCACCCCCCACCACCACCCCCCCACCACCATCACCACCCCCCACCACCCCACCACCCCCCCCGAAACACCACCCCCCCCACCACCACCACCCCACCACCACCATCCCACCACCACCCACCACCCCCCCAGCACCACCCCACCACCAACACCCCACCACCACCACCTCCCCACCACCCCAACACCACCCCCCCACCACCTCCCCTCCACCACCACCCCACCACCACCACCCCCCCACCACCACCCCAACACCACCCCCCCACCACCTCCCCTCCACCACCACCCCTCCACCACCATCCCACCACCACCACCATCCCACCACCACCCACCACCCCTCCACCACCACCATCCCACCACCACCCACCACCCCCCCCACCACGACCCCACCTATCTGCCACTGCGGCTCCCAAAATAACAGCGGAAATTCCATTGAACGCGCGAGAGACACTGACCCTGCTCAGTTGCAACGGACACACGCGCACGCACGCGCGCGCGTATAGAGACAAAGACCCCCCGTATAGCCGTAACATACTTTTAGGGCAAGTGCTGTTAGCGAGCACCTATGAAGGCCGACACGACGCACGAGGGGGTTGGTGTGTCTCTGCTTTTTGTGTTTAGTTTGTCCTTCCCCGCACCTCCGATTTAGCACGGTTGGGTATGTACGGCGCGAAAGAAGTTCAACATACATACGTGTGCCAGCACCACTACTGGCCGCCTTTGTCCCCCCCCCCCCACCCCAAAGGTGATGTTTACACACCGCACCAGGTACCCATTTAAGGCTGAGTAGACATTGGGGAGGAACAGGACCGGTTCAGATAATCGTCCCTGGTGTTGGCCGTGTGCGGGAATCGAACTCGGGTTGCCGGGTTTGTAAAACTACTGGATATTTGTAAAAACTAAATTTAGAATTCATCGGATTCCTCCGGTATGAATAAATACTGTATTCTGATTCTGAAGCGCAGCGCGCTAATTGCTGCGCCACCGTTCCCCACACACTCATACAAAGATCCCCCGTATAACCTGTAACAGACTGTAGGGGCAAGTCCTGTTAGGGAGCACCTACGAAGGCCTACTCATACACAAGCTAATGCACACACATACGTATCGTGAACCCCCTGCCCCCCGGAGCAAAGTGACGTGAAGAGGCCTTAATCCAGCAGTGGATTGACGAATTGCTGTACATTTATATTAATCTTATACCCAACAACGTTTCTCGTATACATGCACACATACACAAGAACATACACACTCGCACATTCTCTCACAATTAGAAACACTTTAACAGTCGTATTGACAGTACACACACACAGACACGTACACACACAAACATCCTATCACGCACACGTACATCATACACGGAGACAAAAACTGACACGAACACGCATTTACAAACGTGGGGGCATGTGCACGCGAATACAGTGACGCATATACACACACATTCACTCGTGTCTGTTAAAAAAGCCTGCACCTGTGGCCTGATTGTATTGAATGGCAATGCCCCTTCCCCCCCAATCCTCACACACCCCTCAATTCCAACCCTCAACACTCACCCACCCACCCCTCACTTCCAACACTCACCCCTCACCCATCCCTCACTCCCAACACTCACCTCTCACTCAACACTCACCCCATCGCTCTCAAATCTCTCCACTCACCCACCCCTGACTCCCAAACACTCCTCACCCACAGCTCACTTCCAACACTCACCCCTCACTCACCCCATCGCTCTCGAATCTCACAACTCACCCACCCACCCTCACTCCCAAACACTCACTCTTCACCCACAGCTCACTTCCAACACTCACCCCTCACTCACCCCATCGCTCTCAAATCTCTCCACTCACCCACCCACCCTCACTCCAAAACACTCACTCCTCACCCACCCCTCACTCCCAACACCCACCCCTCAATAAACACTCACCCCATCGCTCCCGAATCTCACAACTCACTCACCCACCCACGCCTCAGTCCCAAGCACTCCTCACCCACCCCTCACTCCCAAACACTCACCTCTTACCAACCCCTCCCAACCCTCACAACTCACCCCGAACTCCCAACATTCACTTCTCAACGACCCCCAACTTCTAACGCTAACCCGTAAACCACCCATCACTCCTGACCCCAAACCCAACCCGCTCACCCATCCGGCTCACTCACCCTTCACTCACCCGCCTCACGCATTTCACGCTCATCCCTTCACTCACCCCCCCCCCACCCCAACTCACCTCCCTTGTTAATCTCTCAATCACCGCACTCACTCATTCCTCATTCACCCCCATATCTCACCTCCCCCCCCCATACTCATCCGTCACTCACATCCCTTACTCACTCCTCATTCTTCACTCACCCGCACCCCCCTCGCAGCTGCTACGCTCTTGAGAGACGCGGGGAGCAACTGCATGGTGGTGGTGGTGGCGGTGTCACAGAGACACGGATACAGAGACACTGAGACCAGCAGACAGACGCACACAGATATCGAGACAGGCGCACTCACACAGAGTGAGTGGCACGGTGTTACAACTCGTGGGACAAAACTAGAGCGACACTGACACGCAGAGTGCCAACTTCTGAGGACGCAGTCCCGGCGACTGGGAGACTACAGCCGCTCGGAGCCAGCGAGACGACCAACGAGGCAGAGACCGAGAGGCCCAGACACAATCCAAAGAGATAAGCGACAGAGAGAGAGAGAGACACCTTCCGTGGAGGAGAGGTGTGACACGGACACATCGATAGAGACGCACTTCGTCACACAGACAATTGGACGCCCAGTGTCGCAGCTACAGAGACAATAGACACTTGAGACACGGTGGGGGGGAGGACACGGAGACAAACAGAGACATAATCGTGATGTTCTATTGTCAGACGCTGTCTTTCTGACAGACCTGTTCTTCACCTGAGGACAGCTGCTTGCGTTGTGGCCAAAACGTCGTGAGAATAATTTTATTATGTTTTATTATTTATTATTCTATTATTTCCATTCTACGTGACTTTACCGAAAGAACCAAGAAGATGTTCTATTGTCTGTTGAGAACACCGATTGGAGCTCCGATTGTGCCGTAATTTAAGCCGTTCGGTCGCTCTGTCCGAGAGCGTTGGTGAATTCCTGCCGAAAAACGCGCTCGCCGTCACGTTTACATTTGGAGCCGTGCGAAGGGGAACGCGGTCCATGGTTTTGGAGGTCGTCGTCGCAGTCACACGGTGGAGCGGGTGTGTGGGGGGGGGGGGTACTGATAGCGACGCATCGAGATACTGAGACGGAGGAGACAGAGAGACGCAGACGCAGAAGTCGAGCCGAAGAGAGAAGGGGAGCGCAAGACGCAGAATACGCAGACGCGACCCTGCGCCATGAAGTGGGCTCCTCTGCTCCTGGCCGTCATCCTGATCGGTGAGAGGGCGAGGGAACAGAAGCGAGTCTGTGAGGTTGTGTGAGGGCGAGATTGATAGAGAGAGAGAGGAGCGGTGGCGCAGTGGTTAGAGCGTTTCTCTACGAATCCGGCGACCCGAGTTCGATTCGCGCTCACGGCCAACACCCGGTGACGATTATCTGAATCGGTCCTGGGCCTCCCCTAGGTCGACTTAGCCTCAAATTAGTACCTGGTGCGGTGTGTAAACATCGCGTGGTGCTGGCCACCCACCCCCTCGTGTACCGTGCAGGCCTTCATATGTGCTCGCTAACAGCACTTGCCCCAACAGTCTGCTACAGGCTATACGGGGGATCTTTGTCTATTTGGTGGCGCCGTGGTTAGAGCGCTGCGCTACGAAACCGGTGACAGAAAATTCGATTCCCGCCCACGGATATCGAAATCAGTCCTGGCCCTCCTCCCCACGGCAGAGGCAGTGTCAAACGCGGTGTGTTGTAAACATCGTCACTCGGGAGATAAAGGCGGCCGTGAGTGATTGCTGGCCACCCACCCCTTTTGTGTGTCATAATAGGTACTCGATGAACAGCACTTGCCACGGCAATTTGTTAAGGCTATACGGGGGATATTTGTCTTTAAGAGAGGTGTGTGTGTGTGAGCAATGTGTGTGTATGTGAATGTGATCTTTGCGTGTGTTTGCGTGAGGTTGGAGCGCTACATCCCAAAGCCAGCGCTTGTCTCAAGCCATCGGTTGTTACAATCCCAACACATCGTCCCATTAACCCCCCACGCGCTGATTAAAGTAAAGTATTGAGTCAACGGTGGCAACAGTCCCGTGGCCAGGCTTGGTGGCCCCCGCCATAGCAATGTGGAATTTTTTGTCCACCACTGCCTCTGGACTGGCAGTGGTTGATGTCAACATTTGACGCTGTGAATTTGTCGAATTTCCCACCCAACACGACTGCAGCGACTTCCTACACGCACGTGTTGAGCCTCAGCTGGTTTGAGCCGCCTGCTCACGTCTCTGATCTGTGTCGTGTGTATGACCTGTATGCTGAACCTCTTTCGCACCGTACGAAGTCAAACGTTGGCCTCGTTCGCGAGATGTTAACTACTTCATCTGGTAGCCGAATGGCTCACAGGGCTATACCTAATAAATGAACTTGAACTTGAACACAGGAGGTCGTGGGTTCGTACCCGACCCTGACGTCTGTATATTTGGAGTTTGCGTGTCTCTCTCCGTGGTCACGTGGGTTTTATCTCCGGGTCCTCCGGTTTTCCCTCCACATTTTAGAATCAACATGCGGTTCGAGTATTTGGCTGCTACAAATTTCTAGGTAATAAGCCACTTCGTTGAGCTATCATTGTTGGCCAGGTCGCTTCTGAAAAAACAAATCAATGTCGCTCAATGGGCCTTATACTCGGTTATATAAAAGTTTAGCTTTAGTTTAGGCGTGGGGCAACGAGGTGTGGCCAGACGATGGCATTGCTGAGTGTCACCCCAACCCATCCCACCACTTCCCGTAAACCTCGGATGCGAGGTGGGTGTTTTCTCCGGGTTCATCGGTTCCTTCCCACACAAAGCAAAAAGAAAACCTCTGATTGCAAATGTAAATGTCCAAACATCTAAATGCAGTAGCACAAGCCTGGACAATAAGTCTCGAGACACGGCGAGGCTTGCCTTGGTAAATTATTGCCAATTGGCATTGCTCCGGTAATCTAAATGTAAATGAATTCGATCGTTAGCTTCTAGCCTTCGCGTTTGTTTGCACTTTGTTAGTGTAGCGTAGAAGGTAGAAGCGCAGCCCTGAAATAGCCGGCTCCCGCCCCTGCTGGCAGAAGGGCCTCCACCTACAGCGGGGCTCTTGACACACCCTTCTAGAGGGGTATGTTTGGCCTACTCTTCCATGCCGGTCAGTCGTCTTGAAAGAGGTGGGGGTACTCACACGTTTACCCCACCACGTACATTTCTACTGCTGGAAGGAGGGAGGTGGATGTGTGTGGGGGGGCGAAGACGGAATTTCAGCTGCCGCGCGGGAGGTCGAATCAGCAACCTCTTGATTACGAGTCCAATGCGCTAACCAGGGTTGCCGCAATATACACTTTCACGATGCGATACGATATTACGTTTCAGCAGATGACGATTATCGCAATAAATGTTTGTCGTAACGTTGCACTGTAATGTAATTGCAATTTCGCATGTTATCGTGTTGTTTTCGTTCTTCCAGTAGGAACAAACAAAAACAATTCAAAGTCATTTCACTGCATTTCACTCCACATAAGTCTGCCCATACATCTTATACCGGACAATCATTGCAACTCTGTGACCTGCAGTAACGCTTAGGGTGCACATGCAGGCAGTTACACAATAATATGGGGCCTTTTTTTGCCAGTTTCAAAGTATGTAAAATACATCATCTCATAATCAGATTGACCATCTCTTTAAATCACTTCAAGCCTCCCGTAAATTACGTTACTTCTGTGTGGCCACCCACACTCTGAACTATGCACGCAGACGCTGCTCCGTGCAGCAGTGTAGAGGCCTTGATGTAGCCTCAACCCTCCCGATATTCATCTTTCCTGAACATTTGCACCCGTTATTCCATCATTTTCCTCTTTTTTCCCATTATTTCTCTTCAACTAAACTAAAACTCAACGCAATTTTATTTGATCATGAAATGCCCACTGAGCTATATGGATATTTTATCAGCCTGGCCACAAATGATGGCTCAACGAAGTGCCTTATCATGTGGAATGTATAGCAGCCAGATACTCTGAACGCATGTCTCTAAATGTGGAGGTAAAAGCCGGAGGACGCGGAGAAAAATCCACGCGACCACGGGGAGAGAGAGACACGCAAACTCCAAATATACAGCAGCAGGCGTCATGGTCAGGATTGAACCCACACATCCTGCATACCAGGCGAGGTAGTTAACATATTTTTCTCTTGCCTGTCCCGTTTCTTTTTATCTTTCCATGCATTGTATCAATAACTCCACTCTCCTTCCCGCTGTGTAGCCATGGGCACAAAGGTTGTTCGTGAAAATGAAGACATCATATGATCGCCACTACCGGAAATGACTCCAGAAAACCTTTTGCAAAGCGCCACTTTAATGGCGAATAGCATTTTTTTCATAAGCATCATTGTGAACTTTTACGTCCAAAATATATTGTCAGAAAACTGAACGATGAACAAAAAATTGCGAATAACAGCAATCACAACATGACGATATTTTGCTTAATAGACGATACCGATTACCGTGGATCTTATATCGTACAATTTATCATTGTATCACATTATCGCGGCTAACACATCAGTGTGAATATACCACGGCAATATCCTGTGTTTTGTATTAATCTGGTATATATAAGACATGTATTGAGAAAATCCCATGAATCGTATCTGTTGGCCTTTAAATGTGATCGTTCTTTTCTGGATCTGCTCTTGTATTTGCTTTCTTTCCCAGGTGCCCCTTGCCAGCGAGACTCGCAGTCTCAACGCGCTCGCTCTCTCACTCTCCTGGTTATAAATACACATTGATGCTGTGCTCTTGCATTGACTCCCATTTGTGGAGGCGGCCGGATGGCTGGAAGGTTCGTGGGGGTCACAGCTCTGAGTTGACAACAGCTGAGATTCTGAATTTGAATGCCCCTTTCAGCCACCGGGTGATTCAGCCATCGGAGTCGCAATTATAGTCGGTGATCGTTGACTGCACACACACACAAAACCCCCAATAACTTTACATTTACTTTGGTTTTGCACTTAATTTGGCCTCGATTGCAACTCTCATAATCACATTTCACACGACAAACACGAATCTAGTATAGCAGTAATTCTATGTTTGAAGCTTTCGTGACTGCAATGATTCATATTCTTGGGTTTTTTCGGTAAAGTCACGTAGGTAAAAAATTAAATTAAAATTAATAAAAGTAAAATAAAAATAAAAGAAAAATCAATCACGATGTGATTTTTTTATAGGCTTGTGTTGCCTCCGAAACGTCGTGATTTTTATTTTATTTTTATTTTATTAATTTTTATTTAAATTTTTTACCTACGTGACTTTACCGAAAAAACCCAAGAATATAGCAGTAATGTACGTGAGAAAGATGACCGCCTGAAGGGTTATTTTTTCCGAAGAGGCTCCGAAAATATACCTGCGTTGAATTTGCTTCTCACCGTACGTAGCCGGCCGAGATTGGCACGGTTGGCTAACGTACTGTGCGAAAGAAGTTTGACATCCAGCACGTACATACTGACGCACGAGGTCGTACTGCCCCGCGAGGTCTTCCAACACGACTTTGTGCCGCTTGACATGAGCGCTGATGGCATGATTGGTATCACATTTTAAGTGGGGGAAAGTGGGGGGGGGGGGGGGGGGGAGGGGGCAAGATCAGAATTTTAATTTTTTTAGCAAATCTCCACTTTAATCGGTAATAGCTTTATATTTTTTCGTGAACTTCATAAGAATAGATGTGGACTTTTATTTCCTCAATGTTTCGTCATGAAATTGAACAATGAACAAACAATTACGAGCAACGGCAATCACAATATGGGCGATATTTTGCTTAATAGACGATACTGATTAGCATTGATCTTCTATCGTACGACATATCATCGTATAATTCTAGATTTGAAGCTTTCGTGACTGCAAGGATTCATACTCTTAGTTCTTTCGGTAAAGTCACGTAGGTAAAAAATGAAATTAATAAAAATAAAACAATAAAAATCACGACGTTTCGGAGGCAGCACAAGTCTACGAAACGTCGTGATTTTTATTGTTTTATTTTTATTAATTTCATTTTTTACCTACGTGACTTTACCGAAAGAACTAAGAGTATATATCATCGTATAGCCATATCGCAGCTAACACCCCACAGGCTAATCAATGCACCACGAAAGTATCTTGTGTTTTATATGAATGTTGTATATATATAACACATGTACATATATATACAAGCGGTATGGGGTGGGGGGGAAGATCATTATATACGCAGTTAAGAAGCTCAATCTTTCCAAGTGTCTCAGCACGGGCACGCTTCAACGGAAGCTGCAGCAGCGCCGGTTTCATTCTCGAGTTCCGACACCGTCCGCGGGTTACATCGTCGTCGGAACAATAACGTGAAACGATCATTGCCGTGTCCCACGTGCAGAAAACCATCATCCCTCGCCGCCCCTCCCGTTGTCCTTCCCAGGAGTGGGTGAGTCCCTGGCGGAAAACGAGGAGCAGCGACTTTACAACGACCTCTTCAAAAACTACAACCGCGACGTCCGTCCTACGCACGACAAAGACGTCCCCGTGGACATCTCTCTGGGGCTCTCGCTCTCCAACCTCATCTCTCTGGTGGGCGGCGTCTCTCGATCATGCTCTCACGCGTGTGTGAATATACCTCCATGGCAAATCCGGGGGCCGACACACATCATGACGACGATGAACGGTCGATACGATGTTACACGCACGGTGGCACGTGGCATAGTATCGACAAGGCTCGATTTTTGCAACGTCTGGCAAAAAAAACACAAGCAGGCAGCGGCGTGTAGAACATTCTTTGGCACGTGTCGTGACGGGTACTGCAAGATCCGGGCCCTGTCCGTCCAGGGCTCGCCGAGCTGAATTGGCTTCAGGTTGACCAACAAATGCATTACAAGGTCACACTCATTGCACACAAAGTGCTTGCCACAAATTATCCGCAAAATCTTGCTGATCTCTCACTCTTCATGTATTACAAACACGTTGGCCACTATAAAAAAAAACAAATGTCAGGATGGGCCCTCCTTGTGTACACGGCCACGGTGGGAACTTCATTGACGTTTTTCAATCGTTTTGTTTTTATTTCAGAAAGAGGCCGATGAAACGCTTCTCACCAACGTGTGGATCGATCAAGTGAGTCGTCGCATCTTGACATCTCAATTTACTTCGGTTCCCAATTCCATCTTACCTATAAATGCAGTGGTTGGCACGAACGATGATGGGACAGCCAATAACAATAACCACTGCTTTATAAAGCGCCTTTCATTTCGAAGTATCCCAAAGCGCTGTACGTAAAAATAAAACTACTCACAAGTAGATTTGAAGCTTTCGTGACTGCAGGAATCCATACTCTGTGGTTGTTTCGGTAAAGTCACGGAGGTATAAAATAAATCACGACGTTTCGATTACAACACAAGCAATCATCATCAGGTGGGAAAACCACAGCAAAAAAAAAATTCAGCAAAAAAAATAATTATTGCTGTGGTTTTCCCACCTGATGATGATTGCTTGTTGCAATCGAAACGTCGTGATTTATTTTATTTGATACCTACGTGACTTTACCGAAAGAACCAAAGAGTACTCACAAGTATAGATACAATCTAAGCAGAAATACAAAGCTGATAATAAAAATAGCAATGACTACTCTCGAAATTCCAATAAAATGAAGAACTATGATAAAAGTGAATAATAATCCCAGAGTAATACAACCAGATAACAACCTTAGTTTTCAAATATTGAGCTACTGGGGAAAAGCCAATGGGTGCAGTCTTCGCCCGTAATATTCGACATTGTAATTTGTAAGATTTTTAATTCATCCGACTCCACCACGGGAAGTAGCCACCACATCGCATTGTTCACTACAGACACTGACAGAAGCAGTTGACGAAGCAGTGTCTGTCTCGATTTAAAGCTTTCGTGACTGCAGGGATTCATCTTCTTGGTTCTTTCGGTAAAGTCACGTAGAAGGGAAATAATAAAATAATAAATATAATAAAACATTATAACATATTTTATTATGTTTTATTTTTATTATTTTATAATAATAAAAAAAATACAATTTTTTGCTTTATTTTATTATTTCCCTTCTACGTGACTTCACCGAAAGAACCGAGAAGACGGTGTCTGTCTGTGAATATTTTCCGGCCCCGCCGACCCCTTATAAGTGCCCTACCTTATTACACACCAATTCAGACAGTACTGGTCACCCCGTGCTCCTTATAAATCTCAACGTTCATCCTGCAAAGTCCCATCACAGGGGAGAAAGTCAAACCAAAAGGCTCAATTTCCCTGTACAAGAATTCTGGTAAACCGTATGGATTGACAGGTATGCGTGCATGTGCCATGGGTTGGCTGACTGAGATGAGTGGTAGATTTTGATTTAAAGCTTTCGTGACTGCAGGGATTCATCTTCTTGGTTTTTTCGGTAAAGTCACGTAGAAGGGAAGTAATACAATAATAAAAATAAAACATAATAAAATAATATAATATAATAAAATAATAAAATAATATAATAATATATTTTATTATGTTTTCTTTTTATTATTTTATTACTTCCCTTTTACGTGACTTTACCGAAAAAACCAAGAAGATGAGTGGTAGATTGCAACAGTTTGGCTGTCAAATCAACCGGTCACGAATATTGTATCAGCGGCCGGTGAATGTCACGCTACGTTCTCCTTTGTCGGAGCATGATGCACTTCACGCAAGGGCCGCGTGGCCTAATGGATTAGGCGTCTGACTTCGGATCAGAAGATTGCAGGTTCGAATCCTGCCGTGGTCGCTATTTTTTTTTACCCCAATTCCCCCCGTATTGAAACGGCTGAACGCTGTATTTAGGGGCCGTCCATAAATGACGTCACGCGCACCTGGGGGGAGGTGGGGGGGTCAGATATTTGTGACGATGTGTGACGAGGGGAGTGGGGGGTTTGAGAAATGTGACATCACATCAAAATGCGCAACTTTCAATAAATTAGACAACACGTTCTACTTAATGAAATAGACTTTTAAATAAATCTTGATTTGAAGCTTTCGTGGCTGCAGGAATCCATACTCCTTGGTTCTTTCGGTAAAGTCACGTAGGTAGAAAATAAAATAAATAAATGTTTTCTCTTACAACATCAGAGTGCAGCGCCACATTAAATACGCACTACAATGACAATCGTTTAAAGCGATTTGAAGCATGTTTTATTTTGGGATGGGGGGCAGAGCTTTGTGACGTCGTATTTGAGAGGGGGGTCTGACTTATTGTGACGGGGGGAGGGGTCAAAAATCGTCCAAAATCACGTGATGTCATTTATGGACGGCCCCTTCACCTGAAACTCAATTTCCCTCTAAATAATATGACCGTAAACTGTATGGGCTAACATCTATGCCAACCCGCAACATCGCTACTTAATAGCCGCTCGCTGACTTTGTCCTCTGTGCAGACGTGGACCGACTACCGGCTGAGTTGGGACCCCGAGGAATACGGCGGAATACTCGAACTCCGCGTTCCGCCGTCTAAAGTGTGGCTGCCCGAAATCGTCTTGGAGAACAAGTAAGCGCGTCAGTGCGTGTGTGTTGGCGTGCGTGCGCGTGCGTTGGCATTGCATGCCGTCAGTGTCTCTGTCCAGTGTGCCACAGAGAATTCCGGGCTAGGATTGGCCTGTTCAGCCATCTGCGCACTCGTCAAAACCCAACAAAATGACAAACGTGCCATGGTCATCATCAACTTTGATGGGCGAACAAGAAGAAGAAGTGTTGCGTGGCTGCTGATCGAGCACGTGTCTGCTTGTCGTCGTTCTTCGAATCGAGAAGACGCGTCGTGAGCGGTGGCGCTCACGGTTAGCGCAGCGAAACCCGGTGGCCCAGAGGCTCAGGCCGATTCTCGCTCACGGCCAACGCCGGTGACGATTATTTGAACCGCTCATGGGCCTCCCCCTTAGGTGGACTCAGCCTCAAATGAGTACCTGCTGTTGGTGTGTAAAAAATAATATAATCGCGAATGGGGAGACAAAGGCGGTCGGGCGTGGTGCTGGCCACCCACCTCCCCGCGTGCCGTATCGGCCTTCATAGGTCCTCGCTAACAGCACTTGCCCCTACAGTCTGTTACATACATGCTACACGGGGGGGGGGGGGGGGGGGGGGGTCTTTGTGTACGATCAAATATGCTCACCGTCACGGCCCAGGTGACGGAGTAAGGGGCCGTCCATAAATGACGTCACGCGATTTTGGACGATTTTTGCCCCCCCCCCCTTCGTCACACAAAGTCAGACCCCCCTCTCAAATATGACGTCACAAAGCTCTGCCCCCCCATCCCAAAATAAAACATGCTTCAAATCGCTTTAAACGATTGTCATTGTAGTGCGTATTTAATGTGGCGCTGCACTGATGTTGCAGGAAAACACATTTATTAAGAAGTCTATTTAATTAAGAACATGTCTATAATTATTTAAAGTTGCGCATTTCGATGTGACGTCACATTTCTCAAACCCCCCCCTCCCTCGTCACACATCGTCACAAATGTCTGACCCCCCCCTCTAGGTGCGTGACGTCATTTATGGACGGCCCCCTAAGTCATAACGGAGTTGTCGCCGTTGTGTTGCGTGCGTGTGCAGCATCGATGGGCAGTACACGATGGCGCTGTACTGCAACGTAATACTGGACAGCAGCGGACTTGTGTACTGGCTGCCACCCGCAATCTACCGCAGCTATTGCTCCATCAGCGTCATCAACTACCCCTTCGACTGGCAGAACTGCACTCTGGTGTTCCGGTAACCGCCCACCTGCATACCCACCCGCCCATCTACCACTTACCTATAGGGGGCCGTCCATAAATGACGTCACGCGATTTTGGACGATTTTTGACCCCCTCGTCACACGGCGTCACAAAGTCAGACCCCCCCCCCCATTCAAATATGACGTCACAAAGCTCTGCCCCCCCCCCCAAATCGCTATAAATTATTATCATTGTAGTGCGTATTCAATGTGGCGCTATACTCTGATATTGGAGGAGAAAACATTTATTAAAAAGTCTCTTTAATTAAGTAGAACGTGTTGTCTATATTTATTTAAAGTTGCGCATTTTGATGTGACGTCACATTTCTCAAACCCCCTCGTCACACATCGTCACAAATGTCTGACCCCCCCCCCCCCCAGGTGTGTGAAGTCATTTATGGACGGCCCCTACCTACCAACACACCGGTTTACCTGTCTACAATAAAAAATGTCTTTTCCTAAATGTCCCGGGACTCGTGCGCGTGACGCATGGTGCGGGCAAGAGGTGGGCCTGCCAGCTCACCGTGTGTCTTGGTTGAGCCTCCCAGAAATGTGATAGCTTTAATTTCCCCACATTCCTGTCTGCCAACTTTCTCGTGTAACCACCACCCCTTGACAACCCACGTGCCTACAACCTGCCTGTATAATTCCCATCTATCCACGCACCCACCTATCTACACGCCTTCTAACCTGTCTATCCATTTTTCGATTTAAAGCTTTCGTGACTGCAGGGATTCATCTTCTTGGTTCTTTCGGTAAAGTCACGTAGAACGGAAGTAATAAAATAATAAAAATAAAACATGATAAAATTATTCTCACGACGTTTCGGCTACAACGCAAGCAGCCGTCCTCAGGTGAAGAATGAAACACCACCATGCTTGGAGCGTATATTTAAGCTGGGTTGGAGGTGGAAGAAGAGCGCCCTGTCTATCTATACCTGTTCCCGTTTGTAAAAAAAAATCCTTTTTGATGGGTGTTGCTGCTGATAATGCTGTAGTTGCTGTGATAATGATGATGCTGTAGTTGCTGTGATAATGATGATGCTGTAGTTGCCACCACTGGTATCATTGCTACTCTTGTTGCTGATGATTACACATTTCGACTGACCGTTATGATGACAATGATGATTGCTTTTCTGCTGCTACTGGTGTCCATCCCAGCTCGCTTACGTACAGCGCCCGCGAGATTAACATGCAGCTCAAGTTGGATCAGGATCAGGATCCCCCCAACAAGTTCTTTACCGTGGAGTGGATCGTGACCGATAAGGAGGCCTTCACGGGTAACGCTCATACATACTCTGATACGTGCATCGTCTCTGTACTGCTCGACTTTCGGCGTTATCTGGTCTGACACTGGTGAGACTTGGCCATAAATAAGTAATATTAAAAAAAAACTATAAAAAAACACGCTTTTATGAAATGTACTCGTAATGGAAGAACTCCACGACTCCAGCAAGTGGCCCAGAAGCTTGCTATAACGTAAGGGACCGTGGCCAATTACAGCCAACGTCAGTTGACCGTGGACAATTAGACCCAAGCTGAAACATAACATACACAAAAGAATGTTTAAAAATATATTTTTTATTTGCTATGATAGAATATAGTATTGTCATCAGTATGACATAAGTATACCAAGTTTGCAGTCGATACCACATTGGGAAGTGGGTGAAAATTGAGTTAGAAGATTTGAGGATACAACAACAACAACGACAACAACAACAGACAGAGTGAGTTAAAAGAAAGCTTGTAAAGAAGATGTCTCTGGTGTAGACCAATCAGTTTAAACAACAATGCGTATTATTATCAGAGCATGTTTGTTTGCATATTCACCACAAGTACGTGTGGTTAATGCAGACTTGATCTCTTGCAAAAGGTTTCTATTTGGTCTTTGCACATCTTAACACCTGTTTTATTACCAGAAAGGGTAGAATCTCTTCTTATTTTTCATACTTTTATACTGGAAAAAAGATCCCATGATATATTCAAGGGTATCATGGCATCATCTTCAGCAGCATCATCATCAGTAGCAGAATAATCAGAAGCAGCATAATCATTAGCAGCATCAGAAAGCCATTGTCGATTATTCGTATCAGCAGTAACAGGTTCGTCATCATCGTAAGACATATAATCATCATTCGCAGCAGAAGCTACAGAAACATCATCAGCATCGATAAAAAAGATCCTTTTCATTGCCGTAAGCAATAATAGTATCATCATCAGGAGCAGAAGTTGCAATTTAATGATCGTGCAACTACAGAAACATCACCATTGTTATTGTCGGCAGCAGCAGATTCATCGTCATCTGCTTGTGGAGAATTGTCATCAGCATCTTCATCAGCAGCAGTTAATCTTGTCATCATCATCACCCCGGCCAACCTCAATGGGTCACAGGTTTGGATGTGTTCCTGATTTTCACAGTACTGTAATCGTAATAAAAAAAACCAAGCACAAAATGCCAGACGAACTGATGTACCATAACACGACACTCAACATCCATAATACAGGTCTTTTTGGGTTAGATCGCGTAAATATAAATGTGTCGTTAAACCCGCCACCACCCGACACAGCCAATTAGAAAGGTTTGTCACGTCAACAGAACATGCCCATTCGTTACTAGTACACATTGGAGAGTAAACCCACAACATTTACAATCTGTGGATTTACTCTCCAACACACCGATGTGCTGTACTAGTAACGACTTACCATACCTGTCAACCCCTTACCAGTGCCTACCTTATTACAGACCAACTCAGACCTTATTGGTCACCCCGTGCCCTTATAAATCTCAACGTTCATCCTACAAAGTCCCATCACAAGGGAGACGCACAAATAGACACATTTTGTTTGGCCGTATTCAAACGGCTGTACGACGTATGGACCTGAAAACTAAATTTCCCTGTACAAGAATATGGTTAAACCCCTATGGGTTGACACGGTATGCAGAGCGTGAAATCTTTTGTTGAATCTTTCATTTAAAAAGGGGGGGGGGGGGCACATAAAGCAAAGCATTGAAAAAAAAACCTAAATGATGAACGAAGCAAAGTGTCCAACTATATCAGAGCATCTTCTTGTTTCCTCTGATCGTGAAAAAAAGACACGGTCTGCTGTTGGCGAGTAAATGCCCTCCCTTCCTTAAGCCCTCTCCTCCTCTGCTTGTCCGCAGAAAACGGCGAATGGGAGATTGTGCACCTGCCAGCCAAGAAGCACATTAACAAAGCCTTGTCCAAGGACGACACCAAGTACCAGAACATCACCTTCTACGTCATCATCCAACGCAAGCCGCTCTTTTACGTCATTAACATCATCATCCCCATGGTCATCATCAGCCTCATAGCCAGCCTGGCCTACTACCTCCCCTGCGACTGTGAGTTTCCACATGATGGCAGTGGCACTGGCGTGTGTGTGTGTGTGTGCCTGCGCCGTGTGCCTGTGTGCAAGGCCGTATGTGTGTGTGTATGTTGAACTTTCTTTCGCGCCGTACATAGCCAACCGTGCTAAACAGATTTGTGTGTGGGGGGGGGGGGCGAAGGACAACTAAACACAAAAGCAGTTGTAATTAATGAGTTTTCAATCTAGATTTAAAAGTGCATAGCTCCCGGTGGTTTCTTCATATCATAAGAGCGTTCCAGACGCTCTGAGAGCGCACGATGCAGTGACCGTCTTTGTTCGACGACCAGCCAAAAGCCGCTGTGAGGATTACCGGAGTTGGCGTAATAGTTTATGCTCCAATGCAAGATCAGCAAGGTATTGTGGTTCATTTGTGGCGAGCACTTTGTGTGCTGGCCATCAATGGACTGCCCTATGGCCAGTCTGGGCCTTGTCCCAGGCCCCCATCAAGCCTAAGCTGGCCCTGTGCGTGTTCTAGAGCTGGGATATCCTTTAATTATGTGATCAATTACACTAGTGGTTCGATTCATCGGATAACATACAAATAATTGGGAGGTGCCGCTGGACGGGAGGTGATGAGCCGGATTTGGTGACGTCACGGCGATGGAATGGCGGTGACGTTAATGGTGGCAGTTTCAACTGGGGATGATGCTGCTGCTGATATTGCTGCTTCTGATGATGCCGCTGCTTCTGATGATGCTTCTGATGACAATGATGGAGGTTATGAAACTTATGGTTGTGGCGATGAGGATGCTGCAGCTGATGTTAATCGTGGTGGTTGTGTTGTTGTTGATGATGATGCTGGTGTGAGCAGGTGGGGAGAAAATGACTGTGTCCATCTCAGTGCTGCTCGCTCAGACCGTGTTCCTCTTCCTCGTGGCCCAGAAGCTCCCCGAGACCTCCCTCGAGGTCCCCATCATCGCCAAGTGAGGACACGTGGTGGCGGGGCAGGGGGGGGGTGTCAGGAGTGGTGGTGGTCACTCACCCCCCTCGTGTGCCGTGCCTAGCCTTCATAGGTGCTGCTCACTAATTGCACTTGCCCCAACAGCCTGTTAAGGCTATAAGGGGGCGGGGGGGGGTGGTCTTTGTCGTTGGTGGTGGGACAGTGATTGTTCAATGAAGATGATGACGTTCATGTGGATGTTGCTTTCTCTACTGACGATAATGATAGTGATGACGATGATATAGATGTCGACCATGATAGTGATGGTGATTTAGATGCTTCTGTAAGAAGTAACACGGAGGCTTAACATAAGGTTTCTCTTTATTCACACGTGGATCTCCCAGACTCGGCCACCACCTTGTCCTCCCCCCCCTCTCCTTGCCCCTCCTCAAACCTTCCCTGGCCCCTCCTCTCAACTAATCCCTCCTTGCCTCCTCTCCTCCCACAGACAATGTCCCCATCCCCTGTCGATGGATGTGACAGCTCTGCTATCTTATGCTATTTTGCTAAGGGTGCTTACAACACCCTTACACTTCTAATGATGATAATTCAGGTCATAGGAATTGTGATTGTACGACGACGATGACAATGGTGGTTGTAAAGTCGACGATGGAAGTGGTTGTACGGACAGTGGCTGTACGGTAATGAATATGACAGCAATGCCCACGGTGCTGCCACTTCTACCGATGACGACGTCGGACATCGTGATGATGACACGAACGATCTACGGCGGCCATTTTGATGACGGTGTGGCCCCAGGTACCTGATGTTCATAATGGTGCTCGTCACCATGGTGGTGCTGAGCTCCGTCGTGGTGCTCAACCTTCACCACCGCTCGCCCAGCACACACCACCTCCAGCCCTGGATGCGCAAGGTGAGGCCACCACCACCGCCGCCTCCATCCACGCCATCACCACGGCGTCCACCAATGACACGTGAACGTCCCGGGGCACCACCTCTTGCCAGGCCCTGACTGCTGATAGGCCAGTCCATGGGGCAAGTGCCCGATGGGCCGGTCCATTCCGAGGGCCGGTCTTTTATTAATAACATGAATAATTTTTTTATTGTTAACATTTTTTATTACTTATAATGTGTACGCTTCGTAGCTTATTTACGCTCTCGGATGGCATTAAGTCCCCGTATATCTGGTGGCCCCGAAGATTCTTCCTTACCGGCCCATTTGTGTTTGTTGGACCCAGCCCAAATGGGCCAATGAGATCGAGCAGCAAAGTCACGCAAACACATCACCACATCGCAAACCTAGCGACTATTACTACACAGTTTGTCTCACAACCCATTAAAACGAATAAATAGTTGCCTATAGCACGACTTTGTGGCCGGGATGTTTACAAATGGCTGGGCAGATTTTTTAAAAATTCCCAGCCCGTCACTGCCGCTTACCTTTGTAAAACCCGGGACAAGACAATGGGGTGACAACTGCGGTGGTAGGTAGGCGGCGATTCGTCAATGGAAAAAAAATTGCACTCTACTCTTTACTTTCGTTGACCACTGGCGCTCATAGGCGGAGTTTGACTTCTATATTTGGGGAGGGGGAAGGGGCAAGGGGTTCACTTTGTCCCTCACATTAGGAATCGCGGGTGCATATAATGAATATCCATTTTTTTATCTTTCTTGTAAATGACTGAAAGTAAATTAATAAAGGCGTCCAGTTTGGGCGGGGTTTGCCCGCCCCTCCTCAAACTCCGCCCCCGCCTCGTGAAGGTGGGAAACCCCTCCACACCTACGATCCAAACCAAGACGTTTGGCAAATTGTCACGGTTAGCGGGGTGGTAGTGGGGGGGGATGGTCGTCGACTTTCGCTTGCTTATGGCCTCACCACCAACACCACCATCGCCGTGCTGCCAGGTTTTCCTGGAGCGCCTCCCGCAGATACTGCACATGTCACAGCCCGAGGACTCGCCGGACTCGGGCGCACCGGGGCTGGGGCCCCGCAGGCGCAGCTCGCTGGGCCTCATCGCCACGGCGGAGGAGTACGTGCACGTGAAGGCGCGCAGCGAGCTCATGTTCGAGCGCATGAGCGAGCGGCACGGCCTCGTCACGCGCCGCACACCCGCCGGTACTACTTTCGCGCCGCGAGCGTGTCCGTCTCCGTTATCACCCTTGTCGCCTAGCGTGATCTGCCCGCTGCTGGATTAGCATGGTTGGCTGCGTACATTGCGAAAGAAGGTCAACGTACGTACAAACAAACGTACATGCGTGCACATACGAGGGCCTGCCTATGCCGTGTCCGTCTCTTCAACGGTTCTGCGTCCACCTGGCGCCTGCGTGCGGGCTGAATCCGTCGTCTCTACCGGACTCCGCGGTGTTCATGATTTGATAAACGGCACTATGTCAGTGCACTGCTGAATGAGGGTTATTCAAGTTCGCTGGTCAGTGCCGGTTGATTGGAACGGAACCGGAAGAAAATCAAAATGGCGTACACGTACGTCATCGGAACGGGAAAGGGTTAATTGCCGCTCGGGAGGGGCCGGGGGGGCGGGGGATCTGCGAGCGCCCTCCGTCTCTCTGTCTGCATGTGTACACAATCGGGGTGTGTGGTGCATGCGTGGTGTATGCGGTGTGTGCGGTGTGTATGCGCTGTGTGCGCTGTGTGTGCGGGGTGTGTGCGGTGTGTGTGGTTTGTGCGGAGTGTGTGCGGTGTGTGCATGGTGCGGTGTGTGCGGGGTGTGTACATGCGTGTGTATGCGGTGCGTGCGGTTTATGCACTGTGTGCGGTGCGTGCGGTGTGTGTGCGGTGTGTGTGCGGTGCGTGCGGTGCATGTGCTGCGTGCGGTGTGTGTACTCAGTGCGGCAGGTGGTGGCGGACGGCGTGGAGCAGCAGGCTGAGCTGCTGCTGCAGATGCTGAGGCCCGCTGTGCAGGGTGCCCTCGTCATCGCCCAGCACACGCGCGACAAGAACCTGCACGGAGAGGTGGGCGACCTCCTCGACCCCCCAAAACCGCACTCATCCTGCTGCTGGTTTTATCAGTCCGCTCATTACTGTGCTGCTGCTCTTGCTGCTGCTCGTCCTGCTGCTGTTACTGCTTCGTGCTACCGTGATTGACGCTACTGCCGACGGTGTTGCTTATTAATCTACTGCTGCTACTTAATGTACTACTGCTGCGACTGCTGATGCGTCTACTTTGCTATTCTCGTCAAGGAGCATAAATCATCATCACGTGAACTCCGGTTATCCTCACGGCGACTTTCGGCTAGCCATCGGAACAAAAGACGGTCACCGCATCGGTCGCATTCATTTGTGCTTCTGCGGCCGTCTGGAACGCTCTTCGTTCCGATATTAGGACGCCTTTGGGAGCTATGAAGTTTGAAATCTAGATTGAAAACTAATTTCTTTAGAACTGCTTTTTGTGTTTAGTTTGTTGTCCTTCCCCCCGCACCTCCTATTAGCACAGATGGCTAAGTAGGGTGCGAAACACGTTCAACATACATACTGCTTGTGATACTACTGCTTCGACTGCTGATGCTTCTACTGCAGCTTGTAGCACTACTGCTGCCAGTGCTGTTGTCGGTGCGGCTCACATTACTTATGCTGCTCCTGCTGCCGCTATTGCTGCTGCTTCTACTCCTGCCGCTGACTTCTACTGCTGCTGCCCGCGCCCGTGCCGATGCTGATGCCGATTCCGTCGTTGCCGCCGGCGACAGGAGAAGGAGGCGTGGTACCGGGTGGCGCGCACGCTGGACCGCCTGTGCCTCTTCGTGGTGGGGCCCGTCATGGTGCTGGGCACCATCACCATCTTCCTGAGCAGCACCCTGAACCGCTCGCCGGCCGTACCCTTCGAGGGCGAGACGTTCAATTACACGCCCGCGCAGCGCCGCTACATCTAGCGGGCGTCATCGTCATCGCCGGCGGTGCCTGGCGGCCAGTCACGGCCGGGCAGGAGGGCAGTTTCACGGAGGCCGTGATGCATGGAGGGAAATTTCAGGGCAATCGTGGGCGACGGTCGATCCCAAGGCAGACCGCGTGCGCAGTGAGCGACCGTGGCTCCGCTTGGGAATTCGCAATTTATCGTCGTCCCGTGTCCTCCGGTACTCATAGCCTTGTTCTGTTACGTTTTGTTGCTTGTGGTTTTTGGACAATCGAGGGCTATGCTCACCAACCAAGGTATATATATATATGGTTAACAAAAGCAAAAAACTTGGCACGGAAGCCGTTGGCCACAATTTCTTTGGTGGATCATGGCCTAAACTACAGCAACGATACCAATGAGATGGTAAAACCAATTAGACGAAAGAGAATCGGAGATTGACTCGACGATGAATTGAATAGTTGTAGGAGCGCGTCGTTCTGCGGCCGCTCGAGGCCATGATCAGCTCACGGAGTTGTCAGGGGTCACTTGAAAGGTAGTCAGTCCTTCGACATCACGTTCTGACACAGGGAGGAATACAGTACTATGTGACATTCTTAAGTCATGAGTGAGAGATGGATGGATCATGTAACGCTAGCAAATGTGTTTTTTCGCTTGCATTTAATTAATCGTATTTAATTAGGAAGCTGCCAGGGCAAAACGCATTTGCAAATCTGCAAATGGTCCTTTTTGCTCTGGTTTGCGTCTCTAGGATTTGGGCAACGCTTTGATCTATTTAGTTAGTTTTTAATTGCTTAAGTCTGTAATAGAAACCCAACGTCATACCAAAGCTGACTTCACATTGGATGATCGTGCCTGCACCGCCCTCCTCTCCCCTGCTCCCCCACGCCGTTACATACAGACGGACGGACGCACAGAGGTAATGTATCAAACACTCTTAAAGTTAGTTGGAAAGTGTGGAAAAAAACAAGAGTGAGGAGAGTGTTTGTCCTTCATAATCACATTTGGTCGGGTCCCCCCCAACCCCCACCCCGTTCCCACCTGTGCATCTCCGCTTGGCTGAGCACTCAGTGTTTGTGTTGCTGTCATTGATTCACGTGGCGTTTCAATAAGAAAACTCAAACATCAACAAGAGCTGCCACTTTTCTCACCGCTCTCTTGAGCTCTCTCTCTCGCCGCTTCTCCCCCTCTCTCTCTCCATCTCTCTCAGCATCTCACGCATCCCGGCATGTGAACTAAGCTACAAGGTTTAAAAAAAAAATGTTTAACCAGGTAAGCTGAGCTAAAAAGCTCTTTTTCATAAGCGAACTGACCAAAAATCATAGCTCAACGAAGTGGCTTATCATGTCGAAATGTATAGCAGCCAAATACCTCTAAACGCACGTTCCTGAATGTGGATAGAAAAACTGAAGGACCCAGAGAAAATCCACACGACTACGCGGAGAGTGAACATACAAACTCTGATTATACAGTCGTCGGGATCGAACAAAAAAAATCCTGCATACCAGGCGAAGTACTTAACATCTCACCACCGTGGCACCCCTGCTACAATATGTTTATACTCTTAGGTTTTTTCGGTAAAGTCACGTAGGTAAAAAAGATAAATAGAAAGAAAATAAAACTTTTTCTTTATTTATTTTCATTTATTATTTCATTTATTTCTATTTTTATTTTTTACCTACGTGACTTTACCGAAAAAACCTAAAAGTATGAATACTTGCAGTCACGAAAGCTTCAAATCTAGAATGAATACAATATATTTCCCCAGCTCTCCTATAATAAATCTCCAACTCTCTAGTCACCATCTCTCTCCCCTAATTCTATACTAAGCCCTCTCTGTGTCTGGCCATATCTCCCTCCGTGTGTTTCCCTTTCCCAATTGATCTATTTTTGCTCCGTGTGTATACACGTGTAGGTACAGAGGCAGTCATAAGTTGAGGCTTAAAGGAAGGCCTGGAGCCTTAACTTGAATCGGACTCAGGGAGTCAACGGCACGGACAGCATGCAAAGGGTGAGTTCCAGACAATGGGGGTAGCAGAATAGAATGAGCAACCTCCCACTTAGCGAAGGTTGACTCAAACCGTGTGGTCTCTCACTCGGCCCACACTGCATCCCTCACCCCTCTCCTCTAGAACTTCCATTCCCACCTCTCTCTACCTCTTCTCTCCTCCTCCATGTCTCTCCCGGCGCTCTCCCCCACTCTCTCGCAAGCCGTGAGAGTCTCTTGACCTCGTCTCCCGTCTCCACTCGCGGTTTGGTGACGCCGCCACTTCGTGTAGAGATCATTGAAGGATGAACATCTTAAAACCTGTTTTATTGCAAGAAAGGGTAAAACCTATTCTTATACTTTGATACTGGCAAAAAAAGGTTCCGGGATTGTACACGTTGCAGCCCAGGATTAGCCCACGGAAAAAAACTTTAAAAAATGAAGACCTTACACGAAGATTTTCTGATCCAAAGTCTTATCCATTAGGCCACGCGGCCCTCGTGGTTATAGTAACATCATGCTTAGAGAGTGAAAGAGAGGGCCTTCATATTCAGATGAGAGTCACTTGGGTAAAATAAGTCACTCGACATCCACTGCTGGGTGACCGCCTCTCCAATCCATTGCATTCTCTTATGGTCCGCTCTCTTCCACGCTTTGCCTCTGCCACTCTAAATAATTTTAAACCATAAATAAATACTCGTATTTTTGAGGTTAAGAACATGCCGCTGTTGCATGCCGTCCAAAACATTTCCACCACTGGTGTAAATATATGTGTGTACAATCGGAAATATATAAACCTTGACAAAGAAAACTGAAAATAAAATGGTGCAAAGAAGCATGAATATGTGAATATTTACACTGAGACACAGTAAGAGGAACACGTGGATTCGAGAATAATATGAAATGATCTTGGCATTTTACTGACATGAATGCAATGTAAATATTACATATTAGTTTGTATATAGAAGAAATACGTAAAAATAACGACCACGGCAGGATTCGAACCTGCAATCTTCTGATCCGAAGTCAGACGCCTTATCCATTAGGCCACGCGGCCACATCGCTCACTGTGTCTTCTTACAACCACAGCCTCATATAAACACTCACTGGAGATTTAAAGCTTTCGTCACTGCAGGGATTCATATTCTTGGATCTTTGGGTACAGTCACGTAGAAGGGAAAATAATATAAATATATATTATTTTAGTATTTCCCTTCTACGTGACTTTACCGAAAGGGGAATACTAAAATAAAATAATATATTAAAAAAAACAGAAAGATATGATTTATTTATAATATTCATATATTTATATTATTTTAGTATTTCCCTTCTACGTGACTTTACCGAAAGAACCAAGAATATAAACACTCACTGGAGACGTTGCTTGATCTAAACAGGGAATTGTTTTCGCTTTTCAAATGCACCAACACAGAGCTCAAGCTTGAGCCTGGGTAATCGTGTTATGGTTGAGTCACGCCCTCTGCATGCATAGCCACTGTGAAAGGCTGCAGGACTACGCTATGGGCAGCAGAGGGCAGTGATACAAACTCCCTCGTTGTACTGCACGTCTGCGCCACTCGCCTTCATTAATCAACCCGCAACAGCGGGCCTGGTCAAACAACCACAACCATCCACCTTCATTAAGCAGTGCATTAACAATGGACATACCCCGAGGAATATACCTTCACTGGCTGCGATGAACCAAACGGCGTATCTTTCTTCATTGAATTGCATGAAGAGCTGTGAACACATGGAGTTTTAGAACATTAAATTTCGATTTAAAGCTTTCGTGACTGCAGGGATTCATCTTATTGGTTCTTTCGATAAAGTCACGTAGAAGGGAATAATAAAATAATAAAAATAAAACAATTAAATAATTCTCACGACGTTTCGGCCACAACGCAAGCAGCCGTCCTCAGGTGAAGAACAGGTCTGTCGGGAAGACAGCGTCTGAATGAGAACATTCGCTGAATGTTTCACTTAACTTGGACACACTTGAAGCTGTGTGCTTTCGCTAAGTTGTCCCCACCTGAAGGAGGACGCTTGTGTTGCGCCCGAAACGTCGTAATTTAATGTATTTGAAAAAAATTACCTACGTGACTTTATCGAAAAAACCAAAGAGTATGTTTCACTTAACGTTTATTGCAATGTTACCAAAAAAATTGGGGTTAAAAAAAAATGCGACCACGGCAGGATTCGAACCTGCAATCTTCTGATCCGAAGTCAGACGCCTTATCCATTAGGCCACGCGGCCCTTGCGTGAAGTGCATCATGCTCCGACAAAGGAGAACGTAGCGTGACATTCACCGGCCGCTGATACAATATTCGTGACCGGTTGATTTGACAGCTAAACTGTTGCAATCTACCACTCATCTCAGTCAGCCAACCCATGGCACACGCACGCATACCTGTCAATCCATACGGTTTACCCGAATTCTTGTACAGGGAAATTTAGTACAATTTGTTTGTCTTTCTCCCTTGTGATGTGACTTTGTAGGATGGACGTTGAGATTTATAAAGGATTTATAAAGATGTATATCCTCTTTACTTGATACAGCAATCGTGCTGTGACGGTTCCGCCTGAAGACGGAAGCTTGTGTTGCCTCCGCAACGTCGTGATTTTTATTTTACTTTGATTAATTTTATTTTTTTACCTACGTGACTTTACCGAAAAAACCTAAGAGTATTTATAAAGGACACGTGGTGACCAATACTGTCTGAATTTGCCTGTAATAAGGAATGGCACTGATAAGTGGGTTGACGGATATGCACGTGGGTCTGTCCCGTGGTGATTGGTCTTGGTGTGTAAGCCTGCAGCAACACGCTGTGAGCAGTAGAGGGCAGTGCAGATAAAGTGCAGATCATTCCAAAGTTTGCCCCGCGTCTTCGCTTCTCTCAGCCTTTCACCAACCCGCACTCACCGGCGTGGTGAAGTATGGTCAGCTAACCCCCCCCACCACACACAATCCCAACACCACCGACACGGCATCAAGAAGCCATCATCCAGCACTGGGTTGACAAAGTTGCTGCAGCGTCTCCATCGTATATTACAGAACCAGCCGGCGGGATTGTAAATAAATATTTAATCGTTAAATTAGTTTTAAAGAGCCGAACGCGTAGAGTTGTCGTATAATTGTTTTTAATTATCTGGCTGTGTGACGTCAATTGAAATTAAAACACATTATTTGAAAAAATATTAAAAAAATTAAAATCGACCACGGCAGGATTCGAACCTGCAATCTTCTGATCCGAAGTCAGACGCCTTATCCATTAGGCCACGCGGCCACTGTCTAGTGCCCATGCAACTAAGTTGGTGTAATCACTGGTGAGAGCGAAACGCCACGTGGCGCTACGCAGTTGATGATGTTAATCGATAATTAAAATCGATCACGAGAACACGACGTTGAATGATAAGGCTCGACGCGTTGTTCTTTTACGTGCAAATGAAACACTCATGTTCGAATCGGTGTCGACGGAGACGGGGGTGGTGGAGGGGTACATCACGTGCGAGAATTCACCGTCACCTGTCATGATCGATCCACTGCTGGACGAAGGCATCGATGTATCGGTCAATCAAACACCCTGCGCGCAAGCTCATTTAATCGCTCCGTCTCCACGGGTAGACGTCATCTCCCAACTTGGGGGCGTCTGATCCCTCCTCTCCCTCCACTCGGGGTTGATCGGTTCGTGTCCTGCCATAGGAACGTGGAATTTGCATCAGCTGAGAGCTGCATCCCCCTCCCAATGTGTCTCGTCGAACGTCGAGGCGCTTTGCCTCTTGTGCGGCGTTCATTGTCCATGATCTATCCGCTGTTGGATGAAGGCGTCGCCAAGACGATACTAATAATGTAAACTTGGAACGCCGCGGTGGCCAGGAGATGTTGACTACCTCACCTGGTGTACAGGAGGTCGTGGGTTCGATCCCGACCCTGACGCCTGCTGTAGATTTGGAGTTTGCGTGTCTCTCTCTCATCATCTTCACGGTGGCTCGGAGATGTTAACTACCTCGCCTGGTACACAGGAGGTCGTGGGTTCGAGTTTGCGTCACTCATCATCAAGGTGGCTAGGAAATGTTAACTACCTCGCCTGGTACGCAGGAGGTCGTGGGTTCGAGCCCGTCCATGACGCCTGCTGCTGTATATTTGGAGTTTGCGTGTCTCTCTCTCATCATCATCATCACGGTGGCTAGGCGATCTGAAATACCTCGCCTGGTGTACAGGAGGTCGTGGGTTCGATACCGGCCCCGACGCCTGCTGTTGTATATTTGGAGTTTGCGTGTCTCTCTCTCTCATCATCATCATCACGGTGGCTAGGAGATGTTAACTACCTCGCCTGGTGTACAGGAGGTCGTGGGTTCGATCCCGACCCTGACGCCTGCTGTAGATTTGGAGTTTGCGTGCCTCTCATCATCATCACGGTGGGGGGCGGAAGGATGAACACAATGATTCTAGAACAAATACATAATTAACTAAATCACTTAGATTTTTTTCGAGTGGCACTTGGGAAGGCAGACATATCGCGAGATGTAAAGAGTCAAAATAGTTCCACGGTTCATTTCTCAAGTGCGAGTTCACGTTTTAAGTAAATATTTTTAAA